ACTTGTAAACTAGTGRTAGCTCTAAATATTTAGTTAAATCTAAATAATATTAATTGATTTATTAATATATATTTTCTAAATTTTATATAATTATCATTTTCCAATATTATATATTTTATAATATATTATATTTTACATTTTTTAGTTTTAACAAAAATGAAATGAGTTTATAACATGATATAATATATTTATCAAAATTTTATCAATCTTAATGTAATTTTGCATTTTAAAGTTTTAAATTCAAAATCTATAAATAGTAAAAACATAAAAATGTTGTTTTCAGAATTTCCACTATTTGGATCAAAGAATCCGGAAACAGTTTTCAAAAATAAGTCTCCCAAACATGTATTTAATGAATTATCTGAAAACAAGAAACARAATTTAGATAGCATACCAAATAGGTCATAATTTCCCTTTGATCACAAAGGTAATCGATCTTCAATTTTGAGTTTCCTTTTAATTTTTGCCTCTCATGTATGTTGTGATCATATGTTACARGAAGATAAAAGAACTGACCAAACTACAGGAGTGAAGTTCAGACGCGCAAACTGGGTAAGCACTGAAACTCGTCGACCTGAGCTGACCATAGCCGACCCGTGGTCGGCCGAGTAGGGCTCGGCGCCGATGTGTTCTCGGCCAATGGTCGAGAACCCTCCTTCGATTCTCTCTCGACCTCTGTGCTGCCYGACTCGAGCCTATCTTGTTTCGACCTCCGATTCRACATTAGGGTCACGACGAAATGCATGGACCCAGGAGTCCAGGTCTCCTGAGCACATTAGGATTCAACTTCCATAATTCCTAAAGGGATTAGAATTTGCTTCTATAAATAAGAGGGTAAAGCAAACCCTAAAGGTGCACCTAAATACCCTACTCTCTACTCTCGACTACTTCGATACTAACTTAAGCATCGGAGTCCGTGTGGCAAGAGCCACACCGGTCTTAGGGTTATTTTGGTTTTGCATGTCACATTGATCCCTTTTATTCTAGAATATTGGTGCAATTTAGAGGAATCTCAGGGAGCCAAATTTCTACATCAACAATTGGCGTCGTCTGTGGGGACGACTAAGATCTAAAAGTCAAGACAATTGACAATGAACTGACCGAGAATTGCTCGGATCCGAGGAGATCATCAAACCAACTTTGTTTRGGAGAAGCAAAGCGACATGAATTCTAAAAGTAGACCACATCATGCTGATAATGAAAGTCACACGGCTCGAGGGCTGCCTTTACCCAAGACAGTCGAGGGTGAAGCAGGTCGACAACGTCTTGAGCAGGTCMGCAAGACGACATACCCTAGGACAGAAAGAGYGACTGACTGAAAATCTCGAACAACACAAGAGTAGATTGGCCGCTTTAGAAAGGAAKATCGTAGGAATGCACCAGAGCATATCTCTCCTTCTTAAAAGACTTAAGCAATAAGAAGAGAGGCCACCTACCACACATCTGTAATCMGCGGAAGGGCAAAACTCCCRCTATTGAAGATGTAGAAAAATTAATGAATAGCCCTTTAGCACAAAGTAAACTAATTATYGGAGGCAAAAACAAACGACAGAACGATACTCTTAACCTACGGGATCCGGTAATCACGCGACCGCAGAAGTTAGCGACACACAACAATGGACGAAAAACTCGACCAGGCATCAGGAACACCTCAACTGACAAAGAAAAACCACTCAACCAGCATGTAGCATGTATAGGGATCACATAAGCGTAATGGAAAATGAAAAAATAGAGGGTACGATCTCGAATAAGCTATAGAGCAGGCAGATTTGACGTTCGTGGAGGAGAAAATGAGAGAAAAATTCCTCCAAAGTTCAAACTCCCTACTATAAAACAATACGACGGCTCAACAGATCCTATCGACCACCTGTACACATGTAGGGAATGGATGGACCTCTACGRAATAATAGAGGCAATCAGGTGCAGGGTATTTTCTTTCACGTTAACCGGTACAGCCCGCATATGGTTTCGACAATTGAGGAGAAAGTCAATCTTCTCCTTCAAAGATCTGGCCAGGGCAGTTATCATACAATTCATTGGAGGATGGAATAGAASTCGACCTGTGACCTACCTCCTTATTGTAAAACAAAAATCAACGGAGAGCCTTGAAGAATATGTGGCTCGTTTCAACGAAGAAAAACTACTAGTCAAAGACCTTACCGACATAATATGACTTGATTTCATATTTAGGTTAAGGGAAAAAGGGCCCCAGCGACTTTCTCAGAAGCATTGAGTCAAGCTAAAAGTATATGAGCGTAGAAGGGCTACTCCATTCAAAGCGGGATATTGACAGAACTCAAGACCGATCAGATCAACGAGACCCTCTGAAGGAATATACTCCAACGACAGTCTCGTCCAAACAAGAATCGGAAGAGAGCAACGAGCTAGTATCACGAGGATGCTACTACACCATCTCAAGAGAACGCATGACGGCCTAACAAAACACACATTATAGTATCGTTTAATTCGTTTCAAATTATGTTTGAGAAAATATCTACTTGCTTTTGGTTAATCCTAGCATGTGAAGTTTAATTAATTACTTGAGCATTTATCTTTTATCCTAAATGAAAACTCCTAAGTGGAGGCATGAGTAGGTTAATCAACAACTGGTCAAAGAATGAATTGGGAGAAACTTAAAAGCAAACTGATAAGCTAAAAAGCCAATCAGAGAAACCGGGGAAAGAATCCCAGAGGTGTTGAAAGGCATGCGTATAGGTTCAATAAGGTTAAAACAGAAAGCAGACATGCATAACCAATCAACGAAACCCAGGGTATAAAACCATTTGGCAAAAGCCAGAATAGGTTAGAAACCCAAGGGTATTGGTTAAACTCAGGGTAAAAAATCGGTAGWAGCCAAATAGGTTAGAAACCCAAGGGTGCCAACTAAATTAAGGGTATAAAACCATTGGAGAAAGCCAAATAGGTTAGAAACCCAAGAGTAAGCCATGRGGTATAAAACCATGGGCAAAAGCCAAATAGGTTAGAAACCCAAAAGAAGCACTACTGGCCCTGCTGCAAGTTAGATCCCAAAGCCGAAATCTAACGGTTAAAACTAACTGTATAGTAGAGCCCAAGAGACTTGATTGAACCCAAATACGGGGGTTAGGAAAGCCAGCCCATAAAGACGACAACTAACAGCAATAAAAAAGATGACTATTCCACAAAAATAGTCATCCAAATCAAGCAACGAGTAATCTCAATATAGAAGCTTTAGCATGTGCTTTTGTCTTCTATTTTAAGAGTGGGGGCTATTGTTATGGGAAGATAAAAGAAGAATGGACCAAACTACACAAGGGAAGTTCGGACRTGCGAATCGGGTAAGCACTGAAAAACCTGTCGACCTGAGCTGACCCGTGGTCGGCCTAGCACGGTCGGCGCCGACTATTAATCCCCTATTCTCCCTCGACCTCTGTGTTGCCCGACCCGAGCCTATCTTATTTCGACCCCCAATTCGACATTAGACCTGTGACGAAACGCATGGGCCTAGGAGTCTAGGTCTCTTGAGCACACTAGGGTTCGACTTYCATAATTCCTAAAGGGATTAGGATTTGACTTCTATAAATAAGAGGGTAAAGCAAACCCTAAAGGTACGCCCCTAAATATAATACTATCTACTCTTGACTACTTGGATACTAACTTAAGCATCGRAGCCCGTGTCGCAGGAGCCACACTAGTCGTAGGATTATTTTGACTTTCCAAGTCACGTTGATCCCTTTTATTTTAGAAAATTGGTGCAAATTTYTGCATCAACATGATCAGTTATGGTATCTGTGTTCGTAGGTTCACATGGCAAAAGGTTCCATATAATCAATTCCTCAAGATTTTAACACCACAAGCTCTAATATCCAATTGCTATCAATTTGACTGGATTGAGCATAATCAAAATATTCCAAAGAAGGAAGTTGGATTATATCAATAAATACACAAATTGAGATAGAGAGAAAAAGAAATACTAAGATATATAGTAGTTTGGTCATTTCGAATCTACTCCTTTCGTGAGACTAAAAATTTGTACAATGATAATTAAGGAAGAATGAAATAAATAATACACAAAAGACAAAGAACCATTCGCTTCGGTTCTTGCCCAAAAATAGCCTTCTACAAAATTCCCCTTTTTCTCAAGGACTTCTTTTTAATTAATATTATATTACCAAAAACCATAGCTTCATTATTATACCCTAAAAATGGTTTATAATTGGTTCAGTAAATATATTGAGCCTAAATATAATCCTTTTCATCTTTTCAAATAATGGTTTTCAACTTGGTTTAACAAAAATTGTTTCTTGAAAAGACCATTTCTAACACAGGACTTTTCAAAAGATGCTTTCTTACACGTTCCAAAACATCAATAAATTTAAAACATATTATAGTTTCAAACGTAGAATAATAATTAAAAAAAAAAAAATTTTTGAACCACGTTCCTCCACCAAGATATATGTGGGGACTCAGCATATGACAAAACTACATGTCGTCACCATTCTCTCATCCATGACGACATAATTTTCCACCACTAAAACTCTGAACTTCCTACAAAACAAACCCAAACACCACCCTGCAAAATTTGGGTCCAAACTCGGATCCTTATGAACTTGAAACAAAATTTTCTATCTTCGGYCTTCATATAAGGTTTCTCTCCCGAAAAAGATCCTTCACTCTTTTTTCTCTCTCTCTCTATCCAAGAACATCATTATATTCCCTTTTGATCACTGCTCTCCAGTACRCAGATAATAATTGTACATACAATAGCCACACCAAAACAAAGAAGATTAATTAATTTCACTTTGTTGAGTGAATTCTACATGGTCAAAATAACATGATATAAACWGATAAAACCCATGTCATAAAAATTGCATTTGGATCAGTTCAATCTCGCTCARAGCCCTGTTCAATAACCCTTTCATTTTTAATTTTCCAACTTTCCTAAAATCACAAGTGATTTCTTAGAAAAATATAAGGAAAAAAGACAAAAAGCAAGCTTTTAAACCTATTTTTTTCTTCAATTTGGAAAAGGTTTTGAAAAAATAGAAAATAAAAAGGAGAATGGGTATGAAATGGGGCTTAATTAGATAAAAAAATCATGTTTGAACCATGTGAGGATGGGATTGGGTGTGTTTGATGAATTAGAGAGACCTGTGTTCGATGATATTAATGTTGTTGTTAGTCCTTTGTCTCTTGGTGCTGCCTGAGGAGGAATGATCTTCGCTACAAACTTTCTCCATCACGGCCTTGAGTGCTTCCTGAATAGAAGTGATGCAGTATTGGTGGTGGTGTTGAGGTTCTTGTTGGTCACCGGAGGASGAGGAGTCATCGTCTCCGGTGATGAATAAGACGTTCTTTACTCGACCGCCGAGGGTGGTGATCTCGGCTCTTAGAGTTCTCAGGTGAAGGGACTTGAGGGTTTTGATGATCTGCGGCAGAAGATCCGACCTATCCTCGCAACAAAGTGAGGCTTTGATCACAAACTTCCCGTCCTCGTCCGACGCGTCAACGTCCACCGATAGCTCGTCGAGCTCGGTCGGTACCGGACTTACGTCGGCTATCAATGTTGTCTGTCGTTTCAGCTCTTTTACGTGTTGGATTACTTCTGCTAGCAACGACGCCTTGTCCGTCTACCAAAAAACTTGGTGTAAAAATGATAATCTTTTCTTCCATGTTATGCAAATGAGAAGATGAGCTTAATAAATCTTAAAATATTAAAGAGTTTTAGAATATACTGTAGATTCATTAGTTCAATATTTAAAAGAAAAAAAAAATGAATCTTGACAATTTGTTAGAAGAAGCTTAATATTAGTTAGCCCAATATTTAAAAACTTAAGTATTAAAAAAATATTATGATCTTATTAGGTTCGGTGATTCGATCTCAAAAAAAAATGGAGAATTTTACAATATACTACTAGATTAGTTCAATACTTCTAAAAAATAGTAAGATAATTTGTTAGAAAAGTCTGATAGAATAGATGAAAGCTTGATAATATACCAAAAATAATAGCAATGTAAACGTCTTTCATTATAAAATCATGGTTAAAGGGTGTTAAATATATCTCACCCTAATGAAAAGTTTCAACAAAACTGCATTATAAATTAAAAGCATTTTGCATCGCATGTGTGTAGCTCGAAGAAAACGCTTCGGTTTCTGCAATCTTGAGATGAGGAATTTCAAGAAAAAAAGGACAAAATTTAACAAGAGTAATTGATCAGAAACTCTTTTAAGCTCTACAAAACTCAGTTTCAGGTTTGTTTTGTTGTAAGAAAAACTAAACGAGATTAGATAGAAAATGAACAAGATCAAAATCAAGTGTTTCCAGCAACCAAAAAAGAAAAAGAAAAAACCTCGTTTGTCTATAGATCTTGTTTGTTTGGTTTTGAATTAGTATGAGTGTCACTGGTCACTGACAAAGATATGAAGAGAGAATAAATAGCGCATGGAAAAACGTCAATAATTATGTTCCAAAAAATATGAAAAAGAAACCGAAAAAAAAGGGAAAAGGGAAGTGGAAAAATTCGTCGTTTGGGAAGAAGAAGATAACCAAGGTCTTCACTATAACACAATCTTCTAAGATTGTACCAAATCTTTACCGTGGGAGTCATTTTCAAGCAAAATTTCATTCTATTTATTTTGGGTTTTG